TCATTTAAAGCCTTGGTTGTCACTGAGACTTTATTGCAGTCAACAGACACTTAAATAGGTACATCTTACTGATACTTTGTTTTGTCCATATTAACGTGACAGCATCATGCAAATTGCTCTTGATTCTCCTTTGACCTCTGACATAGACGAGGCAGTTTTACTCCTGCTCACTGGACATTTTCTCTTTTTTTGGACCATTCTCTGTAAATATCAGGGATGTTTGTGTGGGAAATTCCCAGCATATATGCAGTTTCTGAAATTAGCCTGCCTTAAATCACCTTTGTTTCCTATTTTGATGCTTTTTTCCCCAGTTTTCACAGATGGGACAGACATGGCTGGGGGATAGGAAAGGGAGAAAGAAGAATGAAGGAAAACAAAAACAGAGGGGAAGAGGGACAGTGAGAAAGGACACTTAAAAATATATAAATCTCCTCGATTAACTTTTGAGAGAAAAAAAAAAGGAAAAAAAGAGAAAACAAGCAACAACAAAAAAAAGAAGAGCGACATAATAAACACAACACCATCGCATTAATAGCTAACAGCAAATAACAGTAAATACTAAATATTGAATGATGTTGTGCTGGACGCAGGACCGACTGCGCACAATGTGCTTTGAAACAGCAGCCAAGAAAGGTGTAGTTTGTGTCTGTGAACAGTGAACACCTGTGTGGATCAGCACACTTGTTTCTCCACGTAACGATCTGCTAGAGGGTATTCTGACGCTTGACTTGAACTTCAGAAGGTAGTCTTGACCTATGTCTACATGATAAAACGCTTACATGTATTGACTTGCTGTCATGTGATTGGCTAATTTTAACTTTAACAAGAAATGGGAAAATGTACAGAAAAGTGAGTTTACATGTGCGGCGTTTGATTTGCACCTTTTGAATGTTATACAATTGGTGGGTGTGTGTGAAAAAGTTTTTTTTCCAAAATGCTTAAGAATAAACATTAAAAGTGTCTTTGTTGTTTTCTGTAGTTATTTTTGCACCACATATCTGTTTTTTAAATACTTTTTTTATACATCCGATCAGCATTTATCAGGTTTGTGAATTTTTGGGTTTTGTTCTTCATATTTTCCTTCTTTACTCAGTTACTTTTCAAACATTTTCCTTTTTCCTTTCAAAATATAAGAAATACTTTAAATGCTAATTGCTTCCTTTCATTCAACTGCATATCGTTGACTCTTACTGATGCAGTCAGTCTCAAAACTACACTTTATAAGAGAGCCAGTGTCATCCATTTCTACCATCATGAATAGGACTCTTCTGGAAATTAATTCTTGTTGAATCTATGTATCTACCTATTTTTTTAAGAAAACAAAGATCATTTAAAAAGTATCAAGCACGTTGGCAAAATTCGCTTTTATATATCATCTTCCGTTGTTTTCATTCAAATTCCGTTGTTTTCTTTGAAATTCTGCTGTTTGTTTTCAAATTCAGTTGTTTTCATGCAAAGTCTGTTGTTTTCATTCTAATTCAATTCTATTTCATTCAATCTCTATTGTTTTCATTCAAATTTTGCAGTTTTCATTGAAATTCTGTTTTTTTCATTAAATTTTGTTGTTGTCATTCTAATTCTGTTCTTCTCATACTACTTCTGTTGTTTTCTTCCTAATTTTGTTTTCATTCAAATTCTGCTGTTTTTTTTTTCCAAATTCCGTTGTTTTCATTCAAATTCTGCTGTTGTCATTCTAATTCTGTTGTTTTCATTCTAATTCTGTTGTTTTCATTCAAATTCATTTGTTTTCATTCAAATTCTGCTGTTGTCATTCTAATTCTGTTGTTTTCATTCAAATTCTG